ATCAGTTTCGGGAATAGATGCAATATCAGCCAAAATTTGTTCTTCCAAGTCTTTAGTATCTTGCGACCATAATCTAGCACCTTCCATTTGATGAAACGCTGGGTAATGAGTTCTATCTATCTCATCCTTTCTGTATACGTCTGCAGTAATGAAATAACCTGGGGTCTGGCACGTTTTGAAACATTCATTTTCATGAGCTGAAGTATGTGTTCTTAATAAATTCTCTTTGTTAAGATAATACGTATCCGACTTAGATCTACCTGGATGATCTTGTGGGAACCCTAACACATCAAAGTTCTGAAATGTAGTTACCGTAGGCTTGAAATCATTGTAAAAAGTATATCCCATACCTTTAAAATTTCGCTCTATCAAATCACGTAAAATACCAATAGGGTGATTTTCATCTTGATGTAATTGTCTTTTTGTTAATTCTAATATAAACGGAGGAATGTTAGTCCAGTCGTCGGTTTTATAGGTTCTACCATCAAGTGTAATTTCCTCAGGGTATTGTCTTGACGAGCAATTTGAATCCCATCTTATACCAAGTACATTTTTGAACTTGGGCACTGTCCGACTAGACAAGCCTGTCAGTATACGGATAGTAGGTGCAAGTTTCAACATCGTTGTTGTTGGACGTAATTTTTCAGGACATATACAGTGGTTGAAAATTTATGATCGGTCTATATTATTATACTGCACACTAATCAGGTTCGTTTATGAATTTTGTTTATATGTTCTATAAGTCTAAATCTATATATAAATCTTTAACACTATTACCAAGTTTCTTGTAAATACCTTCCCGTATTTTCCATATTCATTAAATAGTCATCAGCTTCAATATTCTTCATTTTTCCAAATTTAACTAAAATTTCGACTAGGGTGATTCTCACTTCTCTAGGCATCGCACCACTAGACCCACATATGAACAAGATTGCATTTTGATTTAGTATCAAATCGCCTACTAATTCGTGTTGTTCATAAATCTTATGCTGTACATACTTGACTTTTGAATCCAGATCTCTAGAAAAACAAGGGTAAATGGATAGCTTATTTTGAGACTTTAAAGAATCCCAGAGATCACCGAACAAGTAATCATTTTCTTTACTACGACAACCATAAAATAAATACAAATCCTGCTGTATTCCCGTCAGGGTTATGTGTTCTATAAGCGACTTCATTGGAGCCACTCCGGTACCAGGCGACACCATAAGAATTGGTGGATATTTATAATTAGGGAGTTCGAATTTTAAATTTGATTTATGGATCGAGAACACAATTTTATCATTATTTTGCAACAGTTTCAACCATTTCGTACACAAACCTCTTCTAACTCTTCTGAGAATTGTTTTATATACAACGACGGCGACAATCAATTCGACCAGATTTGGACTTGGTCTGGATGCAATCAGGAATAATCTTGGTTTTATTATTGGAAATAAATCTAAAATATAATCAACAGGAATTCTTAAATTTTGCTGAAATTCTAATATGGTCTCAAGAATCAGCCTTCTAGGACGGTTTGCATAGTTGTATAATTCTTCACTCTCCTCAATCCTACTGAACTCTCTTAATTTTTCTTGTTCACGTTCTCCATCCTCAGTGGAAGCGTCACTGAAATGGGCCAATGTCATGAAAAAGGATCTACGGGGAATTGATATAATATCTAAATGATGAGTTAAAAGGGATCTAAGCGTGAGTTTCAGTTTATCTATTAATCCACCTTCAATGAAAGGAACTTCCCCATGTATTACTAAGGGCTTATCGGCAATCGGAATCCAATGGGGTTGCAGTTGAATCAATGCATCGACACTTGCTTCATCATTTGATGGATATAATGCAACTGTATCGCCAGGAATATACAGCAAATTTTCGCTTTCAATTATTAAATGTCTAACATCTTGAAAATGTCCTTCTTTTGTTATTCTTTTATTGTCCTTAACAGATCCCAATATCAAATCTGTTGATCCATCTCCTATTCTTGTTAATGACACTTCTGTGGAGGGATCTGAAGTAACAATATCTTGCTCGTTATATAAAACCTCGACGGGATTATCTGCGGGAAGTAATACCGTTTCATCGTATGTGAGAGGTATACCTTGAATTTTCTTTTTCAATGCCTCAAGTAGATTCGTCTCCCATTCACTATAGTACCCATCAACACCTTCTGGAGTTTGTTCATCTGCTTCACACCTAGTACACAATTCAGAGCATCCTAACTGCAACAAACGAGCATGTATTTTCTTTATTGCATAATTGAATTTAGGATATGATGAATCTCCTATACCAAATGTAGTTAACTCTATGTGATTAAGCAAATCGCTTGGAAGCTTCTTCTTTAGTAAGAATTTCATAAATTTTTTTGAATTTCTAGGTAATTCCCCTTGTCCTGTTGTAGAACAGATTATTATCAAGAACTTTGTATCCGTTACCAAATTTTTCAATGGGTAATGATCCAATGACATAATTGTAGGCTTCAACCCGAAATACTTGAGTCTCTTTGCCAAAAACTGAGCGTAATCTTGAGCATTTCCCGTTTCTGAACCATAGAGAACAGTGACACCAGAACGTTCAGATATACTTGTCATTTCCTTCTATATCTAGCTATCTGCTTAATTAAATCTGTAGTTAAATCTTTCACTATAGCTAACTGTCATCTGATTCACGTAATCTTAACATGTAAAGACATTTTTCGGCTATTTGCAGGTTTCGCATATTTCGAAAAACAACCCTTTCGTACGAGCTTTATAGTAAACAGTAGCCATTAATCCATTTCAAGTTCGTAATCACAGATTAACCATGCCTCCTAAGAGAAAGTCATCAGCACATAGCACACCGAACTCAAAGAAGCAGAAATCTGCTCCTTCCGAGGAAGAATTTAAACAATTTTATTCTTCAACAATGAGTTTGGTTAATGATTTACGTGATGAAAGTGACGAAAGACATCTTGTTACACCATTTGTCAAATTGCCATCTAAGAAGTTGTACCCAGATTATTACAATATTATAACCAATCCTATCACGGTAGGTGAGATTCAGAAGAAACTCAATAATGGAAAATATTCGTTACAAGATACCAGCGATTTTGTAGGAGATTTCAAGTTATTGAATGAAAACGCTACCGCATACAATGATCCAGAATCGTGGATTGCGACAGATTCTCTTAAAATATACGAATTTGTTAAAGAACAAGCTGATCAATTTAGCGGGCATGGTGGCGTGGTGGGAACATCGAAGCTAACCAAAGGACCTAAATTGAAGATCAAAAAACCAACAAAAACGGAGGATGAAGATACAACGGGAGAGGAGATTACGGTTGAATCGTTACCTGAGGTATGCAAGTCGATACTTAATGAAACTATTGAACACGAGTTTCCTGAATTGGGTGTTATAAGTGGACCATTTATTGAAGATATAGATAAAAAGGAATATCCAGACTATTTTAAGATTGTGGAACATCCAACTTCATTTAATAAGGTTGTATCTAATATAGACAAGAAAAAACTTTTTCTGCCAAAGATGTCACTTTTGGAAAACTTAGAAGTCTTCCATGATGCTACTGTTATGATTTTTACAAACGCTCAATTATATAATGATCCCAGCTCTTTGATTCACCAAGACTCAATTAAGCTTAATGAATTTTTTGATGAAAAATTCGATGAATTAAAATCAAGAATAGAAAATCAACAGAAGAAGGGCTCGAGCAAATTAAAGTTAAAATTAAAGAATCCATCAAAGAAAGAAAGTGCACCTAAGGTTAAGATCAATTTAAAATTAAAACCTTCAGAATCTGAAGAAGCTCCAGTTGAGGCACCAAAAAAGAGAGGACGTAAAAAGAAGGTATTAGAAGATGTTGCTGTAAAAGATGAGATAGAAGACAATGCACAGGAACAGCCTTCCGAAACGAAAATGGATGTTGATGAAGAAGCAAACAATGGCGGTGGAATCAATTCAGAAATATTAGGGGAAAATTCAGTAGATCAAGCATCTAAACCTAAAGAAGACGAAGTAGAGGACTTATCGACAATGGTTACTGAATCTAATGTTATGGGTAAAACTTCTTCCTTAGCCCCAACTGAAGATGCATTCATACAAGATATAGCTCTTTCATCTTCAATGTCAAATGTTTCTCATATTACCCAACAAATTCAGCAGCAAAGCAACTACCAGAATCCAGCAAATCAATTGACTAGGGGTCAACTACTCAAACATCTATTATTCCCCACTCACTCAGTTGCACCAACTTCTACATTGTTCGAATATAAATTTCCTACGAATGGTTACTCTTCACAATCATTCTCAGTTAATTTACCTCCAGATTCATCATCCCTTATAACGTTGAAGATTTCCTTGCACAACTTATTACACCAAATTAAGAAACCAGACTTAGTGAATGGCCAAGGATATGCTAATCTGACTTCCGATGACGAATTCCAATGTAAGTTATTTGTAAACGATGACGAGGTTTCTAGCGCGGGCGAGGTTTCAGAAGAGAAAAGATCGGATCAAAATCAATTATTGAGTATTCAATATGACTTGAAGCTAAGCTACGGTTTAAACATTGTTAGCTTTGAATGCAAAGTAGCTCCTAATTTAACGAAAAAGATTAAGAAGACGCAAACTCCCGCAGAGAACGAAGAAGTAGCAGGTAGATACACCAGACATCAGCTCCAGCAATTGAAAATGTCATGGGAGGTCGAGAAAACGAGCTT